CGGATCAGTGTACAGCACGCAGCTCTTTGATTTCCTCAATGAGGCAGCAGATTTATTTCAGTCTGAACTCAAGCACAGGGGAGGTTTATAGAGCGGCTGATAAAGGCCTTCTCCGAGAGAGAGAGAGAGCGAGTGTGTTATTAAGCTCTACTTTCCCCTTCACACCTGGCTTTATTTCATTAATGTGTCTGAAGGAGTTCTCTGCCTACTGCTGCCTCTGGCTGGAATGGCTCACTTTATATGAAGTCACAATTCACACTATTAACAGACTAATAACTGAGACTTTCAGCTCAATACACTACTAATGCTCTATTAACTGCAAACAATGTCTTTTTCTTACTTTTTAATCTTGTCTGATCCAAATATCTTTAAAAAAAGATTTTCAAGAGTTCACACTTGGCTGATGATTGATAATAAAGCTTGTTTTGCATGATGTCCTGGCAGAGAGTGAATTCAGTCTATAGACCTTTTTCTTGGAACGCAAAATTACCCATTATGCTTTGCGTGTATGCGCAAGGAGAATGCGAAGAACTTCCGGTCGGCAGCTGATGCGTGTGAACAGTCACATTTGGACAGCTTTGAAACGATAGTTTTAATCTATTTTACCTGCTTTTATCCTCTTTGAACTAATCCTGTTGTCCATCAGCAGCATCTCCTGGACTGATCATTTAGAGAAATGCGATCTAATATGATGGAAAGCAGCTGCTGTGAGGCGTTTCCCCCTCGTTGTCAGACGGCATCTTCTGCAGTTTAAATGAAGCCTCGTCATCGCTAAAGTCAACGTTTTCTCTTTATTTCAAATATATAACCAGCCCAAACAAATGTAGATCACCAAAATGTTTGACACACACACGTAGCCTGTACTGTGCCACTGACACACTGATTTAATAACTGTGACAAAGTGAAAATATAGGCTAGTGTCATTTCCAAATGACAGAAAAACACAAACCGTGATAAAAACAACACACGAAATAAAACACAAACGGCTCGCGATTAGAATGAACAGCAAATCAGCCAGCAGAGAATCAATAATAGACTTTTATTGCTCATTTTTGTAAATTACACGACTTTCATACCTGTTACGTTTCATGCCAGTACTCTGGTTTGCTCTCTCTCTCTCTCTCTCTCTCTCTCTCTCTCTCTCTCTCTCTCTCTCTCTCTCTGTGTGTGTGTGTGTGTGTGTGTGTGTGTGTTAAAGAGCCGCTGAGCTAACAGCTGACAGGCTGGGAACGCACACACACACTGTATATCTGACGGCAGACAGGTGAACTAGGAGAACGTTTTTCTCGTATTTCTGACACGCTTGAACCACATGTGACAGATTATAACAGCTTTAACAGACACATTTCTAAGTTGTGCGTCACAAAAACACTCTGTTATCCATTAAAAACGTTATTGAAACCCATTTTTGGAGCGCAAATTACCAGTTGTACACGCTGAGGTTTTTAGCATTCTACCGGAAGAAGCTGGTCGCTATGGCACCCTCCATGCAGCAGCTATGAAAAAGGTCTATAGCAACTGTAGAATCACCACAGCGGATTGATTAATAGAGTTAATATATGTTACCAGAGCAACTGTAGAGAGTTTTAAAGCGAAGGAAACCAGAAGTCTTGAGCTAAAGCACTGTAATGGACGCTCGTACATGACGAATAAGGTCAATAGAATGGTTCAATAACACTTTAGCAATCCCTCTGCATGACTATAGTGTAGTGGAAGTGCTCAGAGCATTTTGGGATAGATGTACCCATGGAGAACACATGTGTCGCTGCTTTCAAATCTGGTCACCTAATGAGGCAGAATAACTGTGCGGCTGCTGTCTGAATGTGCTCTAGGTGGGCAGATCAAAACTGCTGACTGCACACACACACACACACACACACACACTGAATATGAAGCAGAGATTGGAAATGACTGCAGCAATAAACATCACAAACATTTTCTGCTTCGTTTTTGTCGCTCTGAAAGAGAACAGTCCTGCCCGATCCTGACCATCATCCCACAGAGAGGAACAAACACACCTACTAGCCATAATATCACCCCAAACCTTTGATAAAACACCACTGAATATAGTCTCTGATGTCCCTAGAGTGTGTGAGAAGTTCATTCATTTATTCATTTTCCTTCGGCTTAGTCCCTTTATTCATCAGGAGTCACACAGTGGAACGAACCATCAACTATTCCAGCATATGTTTTACACAGCGGATGGCCTTCCAGCTGCAATCCAGTACTGGCAAACACTCTCATTCACACACACACACAACTATACACTATCGCCAATTTAGTGTATTCAATTCAACAATGATGATAATAATAATAAAAATAAATTAATAATAATACTAATAATAATACTAATAATAATAATAAATAATAATGATAGTAATAATAATAATAAAATAATAAAAAATGATAATGATAATAATAATAATAATAAATAATAAAATAATAATAATAATAATAATAGTAATAATAATAATAGTAATAATAATAATAGTAATAATAA